ACTGATCACTTGAATACAAATATCCGGCATCAAACACACTTGAATTCCTTATTTTGTGCACTTAACAGGACACTAAAAACAACTATAAAGACGTTGATTGCTGCATCAGCGGTCTCTTCACTCGATTCATTCACTTGAATCTATGCAAAATTGCGCAGCTCATTTCATCGTCAGTGATTACAGGCACGCATCAAGCGTGTCTGATATTAAATCGGAGCTATCACTGCCATCGTTAGAATCTCATAAGATCATCCCACTTATCAGTCTCTTTCACAAGGTAATCTGGCGTCAACACTCATGTGCACTTCTGCTTACTCGTACGCATCGTATATGTCGTCGTCTTCACAATCATCGAAGCTGGGAACGCCTTTTTGGTCGAGCAAAGGCTTTCAATTCAACGGCGTTACCTCATGCCATAGAATACTGGAACAATCTTCCAGATAAAATTGTTGGTATACGGGACCCTGAAACGCTAAAAAAATACAAATTATGTTTTCACAGCTTTTTTGTTATTTGTGTGTTTCCTTGCATAGCCTCGACTTTAGGCTTGTGCAAATAGGGTGCTCGCTTGATTGATTGATTGGTGGGGTTTAACGTCCCGAAACCACTACATGATTGTGAGAGATGCCGTAGTGAAGGGCTCCGGAAATTTCGACCACCTGGGGTTCATTACCGTGCACCCAAATCTGAGTACACGGGCCTACAACATTTCCGCCTCCACCGGAATTGCAGCCACCACAGCCGGGATTTGATCCCGCGACCTGCGGGTCAGCAGCCGAGTACCTTAACCACTAGACCACCGTGGCGGGGCAAAAATAGGGTGCTCGCTCTTGTTTAACTTGTATGATTGAATCAACTTTTTTCTTTGTTTTTCCGCAGTTCATCTTTCGTTTTTTGATATGTGAATTTTAACGTCCCAAAACCAGCATATGATTATGAGAGACGCCGTAGTGGAGGGCTCCAGAAATTTCGAGCACCTGGGGTTCTTTAACATGCACCCAAATCTGAGCAAACGAGCCCAAACATTTCCGCCTCCATAGGAAATGCATCTCACCTGTCGCGTTCACTCTTATTACTAAAAAGTTGTTTAGTGCATTAAAATATCTGTATATTTAGTTAAGTTTCAGATTATTTCGGACACAGTTACATGACATGAAATATGTCGACGAAGCCCATAGTACTCACTTTGTACAACTACCCGTTTCTGCTTTCCCTACCTCACGATCTGTGCTGTTTATGATATATGACCCCCCTCACATAATGTTCCAGAAGGGAACCTGTGATGTACTTGAATAGATAAATAAATAATTAAAATAAATGAAGGAAGGTCTTAATTTCGAATAAAATCACGCTTTAATGGCCCACATTAAAGCGTGATTTCAAAATACCCGCCAAGATGTGTTCCGACTCACGTCACTGTTGTCGTGCACAACGTTGCTCGGCTTTACTGCGTGGTCGCCGACACTAGTAGACAAAACGAAAGCAGCGAGAGCCCCAGCAGCAACAGTGGCCATTGATCAATTTCCTGCCACCCGCTCCGAGATGGCATGCTCTTACTCAGGAGCCTGTCCGTGCCGGTGCTCATGCAGAGGCCTAGTACCCTTGTGATACTTTTACGCATTAAAATGTCTAGGATCTGCTCGCGTATAGACCAATTTAACGAGGATGCAACGTAAATAATGAGGCTCATAACAAACGCGTGCAAGATTCAAAGGAGATTGCTCTCTGTCAGCTCTCCCCTACGGCTTGAAACCCTCCATATTATATGGAGCACGTGCTCCGTTTCGGAGGTTATGCGAGCCCAAACCTGCGAATTTCTGCCGTTGAGTTTGAAAAGGAAGCCTAGCACCCGAACCTAATTGACTATACAAATCTACTGCCCATCCTGTCTCGTTATAGTAATTTACACCTGATGAAGCGGTGACTCGTGCCTTCTTCCGGGTTGAACTGGTCGATATAGAAGGCAATCTGATTTAGAGGTGGATGGCTGAAGCCCTGTACCCTGCAGAAAACTTTCTGTATTAGACAAAGTAGATTACAGCGCCTCCTCTACTTCAGCATCCGAACTGCCCATCCACCAGACAGTAATGCCTTCGTCATATAAGGCGTGGTTGGTATTGGCTACAGTTGGAGAGGGGCTCCTAGAGGCCTTTCATGACTGTGTTGAACAAAAGGGGTGAAATAAGCGCTCCCTGTGGCACGCCCCTCGTATCCAGTGTGAAGGCCTCCGATTTTATTTCGCCAATCGTTATGGTGACTTTGCGGTCCCTGAGGAAGGCGCGAATTTGGGAGTGGAACTTGGGACCTGATTTCATGCGCTCTACCTTCTTCAGTATCAACTGATGTGAAATCGTATCAACGGCCTTGGCGAGCTCAAGGGCCAATATTGCGCGAACATCTCTGGTGTGTCGGTCGATAATTTGCCTCTTTATGAGCAGCACCACATCCTGAGTATAGAGACCCCACCGGAAACCTACCAAGTTGTACGGCAAGAGCTCTTTATCTTCAACCATACCGTAATAAGTAATACTATGTTGTGTACCGCATGCTCCACTACCTTCCCCACGCGAGATGTGAGGGAAATGGGACGTAGGTTCTCCATGGCGAGTACCTTGCCTGGCTTGGGAATCAGTATTATTGAGGCGGTCCTCTAAGCCTCAGGCACGTGACCTTCTGTCCAGAGCGTACTGACTGCCTCAGTTAACTTAGCGGTTGACTTTCCGTCGAGACTGCGCAACATCCTGTTTGTAACACCGTCTTTACTGGGGGCTCAGCAGCTGTTAAGCGCATGAAGCACCTTTTTGATTTCATGGTTCGTAAAGGGCGAATCAATTTCATCACGCAGCCTTCCCTGGTAGACCGGGTAATCCCAGTTCTTGGAGGGGCCAAGTGGAAGGTGTCGCTCTGACATTTCCTTAAAAACACAGGGGGGTCAGTGATTATACTGCTCCGCTGTGCTTGAACTAAGTGGTCGATTGCCAACCTCTGAGTACTTTTAGAGTTTGTCTGATCGAGTAGTACCTTCAAGAGGTTTCATTTACCTCTGGTGCACATCGTTCCAGCTACTTTTGAGTTCCAGAGCTGCTTTGAAAGCTCCTGACTATAATCTTCAATATCTTTATTGATGAGATCTATGCGTTTGCGTAGCCTGATATTAAGCTTTTTGTTTGCCATATCTCAACCAGCAATTTTTTGCCTCCAATAAATGCGCAAGACGCGCGTATCCAACTTTGAGTCAAGTTTGGACAGTCTTGGTGGCGCGGAGCTCATCCTCCGCGAGTCCAAAGAACAGTTCCTCTAACGTGGCAGAATTGGCCCAATCAGCTTCTCGATGCTTCGCGAACTCGTCCCAGTCTGTCACCATGTACTCTTTAGGTGAAGCCGCCTTGGTTTCCTGCATGATCGCGAGAATGAAGTGACCGTTTCCCAGGCTTTCCTGCTAGTTAACCCACAAAACTCTCCTCGCATTTCTGATAAATGCCAGATCCGGAGTGGGGTGCTTTAAACGGAATAGCCCAACAGGGCTGGGAACTGAGGCTCTGTGACCAGCTGCAAGGAATGCTGTATTACAAAGATTCTTGTAAGGAGCAAAGTCGACGCATGTGACCCAGTTCATTGCAGTTAGTTACGTCAAATAGCCATGCACCCGGGTCGTTACAATGCATCAGTACTAGCTCTCTTGTTCTAAGAAGCACCTTCCCCGTGACGTCTTACCGTGTGTACAGATGGTGCTTCAAAACCACACAAGAACGCACGAAGAAAACAGGAGGCGTGCACAGAAAGAATAGCGGAAGAGGGAAAAGGCACGCGTGTGTTGCTGAGGCACAGCTGGCTGATCAAAGCACGCGATTTGTGTAACGCCTAAGAATGTGCCGAGCAAAGAAGAGTGAAGAAAAGTAGATGTGCCGAGTGGTGGCCGTATAAAACTTCCTTTAAACCGTTGGTTGTGAACATACGATGTACTGTACAAATAAACCTACATTTTTAAGTAAGATTGCTTAATACTTGGAAGAGGTAATGAAGCATATTCCTGTAACTTCATTTTCAGAAGTAACTTTTTTTACGTATTTCGAAGTAAGTTTTGCCAAGTTGGGAGGATCACTTCTGTTCTGAAGCTAAACAGAAATGTGGAATTGTACACCTTGAGTGAACATTTTCATGCTTAAAGTGAGCTTGGAAAAACTGCAATCTATAACTTTCGCCACATAACCTACTTGCTTTTTATTGAGCCATCTTTTTACCGCCAAATATTCGCGAATTTTGCTTGTAGTGTGCAATGATTTGCTGGAATATACAAATATCCTCCCTTCCAATAGTATGATCGCTAACTTGAGAAAACATTGCTTTGATGTTTTGGCAAAAAATACAGAAGCCAGCACACAAGTCCTCACATGTCATGCAGACACAGCAAAAGTATTTTTCATAGTTTGTAGCATATTTAAAAAGAACACCAAAGTTTCTTTGCGCTCTCTCAACGAGAATATTGTGCTTGAATACTGGTACGCAGCAACATTTGTGTTCAACACAGAAATCAGTAGTTCTTGTGAAGCTTGGATAAATGGTGTTTTCGTTCGGCCAGAAAACTTTGCGAAGATTTGGTTTTTTCGTACGTTTTTTTTTTTGCAGCTAGAACCTAGTCATCGTCACGTTAAGCAACATGATACGAAAAAATAATAAAAATATATAACAGCAGCTTGCAACAAATATTAGTGCAAATGCGAAATCTATTTTCGCTACTGATGGACGCGTTCCTGTATGCTGAGACATTTGAAGCAGCGATTCTTGTAAACGCGTCATCACTGTTGTTAGACATAGCACATTGAAATAACTGTTTTATCAATACACAAAAATGACAACAGTACGTTTCTGAGAAACACATTCACTGCATAACGCATACACACAATGACTATAAGACAAGCAGAAAGCAAGCTGTGATAAATGATATTCCTGGCGGCTTAGCGAAGCGTAATGCTTTGTACATCTGGCTATACAAAATGGAAGCGAGAATAAAATGGGTATTGTGTTAGACTCGCAAAGTTAGAGAAACAGTAAGGATTTATGTGGTGGTTCTGTCAACAACAGAAACTGGGCCAGTTACACTGCACGCAGGTGAGTTATGCCAAAATCCGCCCTCTTTTACAACTGTACCCTTTTTATGAACGGGACGCGCTGGAAGAATGTGTCAATATTTCAGCAGACCGAAAAAGTTCACAACGTGAAAAAAAAAATACTTGGAGACTGGGCGATCATCGCTTGATTATAAATAGGCAATGACCCTTTCAAAGCGGGTAAACACCCTGCATCACCTGACCAATAATACCTGCACGTGCACTGAGCTAATATTGAATAAGCAAAGTCATCGCGTCTGCTATGCCACCGCCGTGGCTTGTTATCAAAAGCCTCGTGTGCTCTTCGGTGTAATTCTACATCACTGTAGCTGATTTCATAGAACTGAAACACTTGTTTTCTGCTTACCTTGGTGAAAGCGCAATGCCGACAATGGCGCACGCGAAAAAATAAGAGAAATCACTGTTGTCTAAAATTACATTCTTTAGCACAACCAACCGTTTTACCCAACAAACGTTGCATTGGAGTGATTGATTCATCAGTTGTGATTGTATTTGTGCCATCGTATCTATATATACATATATATATATATATATATATATATATATATATATATATATATATATAAATATATATATATATACGCGGAGGGGTATTGGCGTCAGTATGTATGTGCGCATAAGTCCTGTCCTTACCCGATGAAACGTTGTATTTGCGCATAATGTCCCTGCTCGAAAAAAGAAGGAAAGAACAGGAGAGAAAGGGAAAGACAAGCACATGTCTTTGCACACAACTAGCAAAATATTAAATTTTCGGCTACGCTTATACAGCCAGTCCTGGTGCCGCGCCACACATGCTGGGAATTAGTGACTGTAGTTGTATATTTGGTATATTACGCATTCTTTCGTTATATTTGGAGCTCCATGTTTTTGGATTAATTAAAAAAAGTTCGATAAAGAGCTCCTTTAAAACATAATTCTGCGCAATCCACTTTGTCTAATAGCTCCAATTTTGAAAGGGTTTTTTAAAGCTGAGAATCATCAATCAAAAGGAACGAACCTCCGTCAGGTATAGTAGCCTCATACAATTTGCACGCATTTATTACAACCTTTACCATATCCAGTGTTTCTAGACCCATAACAACCAGCACCCCTAGCGGTCCTGGCTCGAAACTAGCGCCTTTTAGTGGAATCAGTGAGTTTATGTTGAATAACTATTTGTAGAGGGTGAATGTTGAAAAACGCAGACAACAGAGCGCATCTGGGAACCTGAATAAAAGAGATGGCTGCAGCGATCATGTTGGGGTAAGCTTCAATTTTGTTCCAAGAGCATTTGAGACTCGTACCATGGGAGTACTGAAACGTCAAATAAAGCCGCCTGTTTTACGAAACAAAAAAAATTCACTGCACTAAAGCTAAGCAGGTTCTATCAATGGTAAGTTAACCGTCTTGACACTCAGCTTTTGATTGCTGCCATTCTCAACGTGCCGCATTTGGCATAACATTGTTCCCTAACGCGTTTTTTTTTTTGCGACGCAGTCCTTCAAATTGCTTGTGGCATATTGGTAAAATTTTGCTTATTGCCAGCGATTCAATGGCATTCGTAGCCGAGTGCTTTAATCACACAGTCGCGGCGCGGGATATCAGCGCGCCGGCATAAGTTCAATGGCACGTGTAGAAACATTTTTTTTATCACCCTGCGAATTAGTTCCACAGAATCCCACAAGATGTCACCACCAAAACAAACCAAAGAATTTTCTGTTTCAGTTTCGATTTGTCATTGTGGTGTTGAGGAGTTTTTTTTTCATTTTCATTACTTTTGGTGCATTTTAAATACTCCACGCATATCACAGTCTCAAGATGTACAGATGGGTCCACTGCTAAAGGGAACGCCTGCGTGAGCAGCATGTTTAGATTTCGCTATATTACGAAATCATAGCGGCTTAGATATGCATAAAGCTTCTGGTTCTTAAAAGTACCGACTTCTCTTGACAAACTATTGACTTTCATGAAGACTGTTTCTTAATCCACTCTCTGTTAAAGGGTCAGGAATACTGATGGTGTGTATTCGAGTGTTCCTTTTACCAGTGGACCGTACTGTACATTTGTAATTCTTACTTAATCATTCGCCACATCCTAAGGAAAACAATGCTCGATCAGGTTAGGTGAACAAAGCTCTTTTTTTCGTACGCGTATTGTAATGTAAAAATTAGGCGGCCAAAGCTTCTTCGTTTTTTGTACGCATGTTAGGGTGTAAAATTGCTTTTGTTTTCATGATTTCTTTATGCTTTTCTCAGGTCCCCACAATGCACCATTGTAAAAAACACGAACTCAGAGTAGAGAAGCAAGGCTTAGGATACGTTAAATTTTACATTCGTAGTTCCTTTTTGAACACGAAGCGCTTTTTTGAGTAGTGTCTATCTATCTATCTATCTATCTATCTATCTATCTATAAATTTATATCGATCTATTTATCTATCTAGCCACGCATGTGTGTGTATATCACGGTGTATCCCATATTAATACTTGTCTGCCAGGTTAAGAGGTGATATACGTAATATATATCGCTGTATACCATATACAGCAATATATACTACGTATATCGCCTTGTTATCTCGGTATAAAAAATCAGTATTTAGGGGTAGAATTCTTGTCGAATAAGTTTGACGGGTCAGAACATGATTAATAACTTGCAAATCTTGTTGCGTACATACGTCGCAAAACCTTTTCCTCCACGCACCTGCGGCCCATGCCCACATTCCCCGTGTGGCGGTACGCCGGTATTCGACTTAGCAGATTGAATCTTTGTTGACCCTGGAGTGGCAGACACCAGCATTTGTGATTTCAGCAAAATAGCGCCTAGAAAAACTGAAACGAGAAGATCCGATGAATGGAAAAGTAATTATTAGTGTCCCAGTAGGATCGAAAACCAAGCATTCTGCGTGGCAATCATGTAGAGTATATCACAGCTCCACGTTAGGTCTCGAAACTGGTTTAGAAAAACACCCTATTGCTTGTAAAACGGTAGTTGTGGTTGCGTTGCTGGCCACTGAAATTTGTAAACGTCACATATGTGCTTCTACGATACAGGATTGGAGTCAGCTCAGCGTCAGATATACACTTCATCGACATCCACTGAAGTTGGTTTTCGCACAACTAACGAGAGTTACCACCCTCTTCTCCCTGAGATTGGGACGTATGTCAATCTGTAAGGCTTCTTCAGAGAGACTACAAATAGCATTCCAGTAAACCTAATATTTCGTGCTTTATCTGACTCGTGTGTTATCCTTATGGACATTATCGAGAGGTTATCGCCATCGACGTCGCCATCGCCGTCGTGTTTCTTTAAAAAGTGCCCATCGACGTCATTCTCCTGTGTACCGTATGAATTACGCGCGCGTTAAAGTGCGTGAATAGCAGGGACGGACACAGCTGTTCAACCGTATTCACCCATCTTCGTTGATCAGAGGGCGCATACGATAAGATTAACCCATGGGTGAAGCATGTCATGAAATGCTGCTGAAGCAAAGGGTAAATTCCATGTTTGCTTTGAAGGCGCATGAAAAGACACGGAGGTGAAGGTGGGTATGAGAGAGGAGCATTCGAGCAGTGGGTGTGAACGTTGACTATAAGGACGCGGTGGCATTTGCTATATTTATAGACTTCAGCGGACAGCTTGTATACCGATTTACGTTCTTCTCTCTCAAATAGGTGCGACTGTGCGGATTCCCCTTTCTTGCCACTAGCGGCTGTGTTCCGTTACAGCAGCGTTTTGTAGATCTACGCATTACTAGATGTAAAAATTTAACCTTAGTTAGGTTTTGTCGCTACCGCACTCAATAAATCACTTTTGTGGTGAAACTGGTATTTTTTGTCATAAGTTGTCATATGTAAAGTGCTGTGTGAATAGAAAACGACCAGCATGCCTTCTTTCTTGACCATTATAAAGCTTTGCGCGCTGCATCGAATAACTCTGTGTGATAGTACGTATGTAGATGAAAGCTTTCACAAAGTTCCAGAGACTGGAACTGTCAGAGGAAACGAAAAACCGTAAGCAATAGAGCATCTTTTACGATCACGATTAACTCTTTTACGGTTGCTCAAAAGAGTGGGGGGAACCTGCGCTCATGCACTTTTAATGCATTTCGAAATTTCTTGAACTTGTACGATTCTATTTACACTTTTTGGTATGTTTCATTTGCTCCATTTCGACTTTTCTTTCTTGGTATAAAGCGCATATACCTACATCTATGCCCAAACGTATAGCCAGATGTCCTACCCTTTCCGCATTGCGATGGCCGATACCTTAGTCTGTGACCACTGTGACAGCGAAGAATCCATCCCACATGCCTTTTAAGCCGCTGACAGAATAGTGGTCAGCGACTACATCTTTGCAACGAGCTCAACAAATGAGACAATCAACGTCTGTCTAAGAAAAAAACACGATATCACAACTGATAGAAAGTTTACCTAGTGAGAGCTGCTCCGACTCCGAGCTACCCGGCATTGAGGCACCCCTAAATGAACTAATGGCTTTTAATGAAAGGGAAAAGCTTTTATGGGTGCTACCAAAGTATATCGTTGTTCGGGGTGCATCCTTTCGTAATATTTGTTATTGGTGTTGCTTATTTCTTGAAATCCGCATGGTGCTTTTCGGAGGTTATTAGTACATTATCGCAGTTTATATGTTACTAATCCTCAACGGTGTGAAAAAATTTTGTGTACTTTCTCAGTTTTCCCACATTGCTCCAAAATTACATTCTGTGGTATGTAAAGACAAGAACATTATGACACATGTAGTATAATTTACTGTCAGGGAGGTGCGCTCAAACACAAGCAAAATTAAGATGAAATACTTGAATACATGACTTTGTTCGTATAATAATCCTGAAGCTGACGCTAATATACTCAAATGTATACTTGTAATCAATGCAAGAACACTTTACGAGGTTGTTTTCAGTGATGAAAGCGCACTCCTTTGGAGTAGTGATTTCCGGCCTCTGAAGAAGGGGGTGTATCAACATACACCAAGTGATATGTTGC